AATTTAAATTTAAACAGAAATTAAAACGAATGTAATTAGTAGGCTAAGTTTGTTGTTACTTTTAAGAATAAACATAATTTTAAGTGTTTATTAAACTGTTACTTTTGTTTTTAAATAACATTAATAAAAGTGACTAACATGTTTACGCAAAGTTACTTATTGTCTTGCTGGTTTTCAGCTTTCTTAAAAGTAGTCATTATTTTTTCATGCCAAAACTAGATAAAATATTAAAAAATGGCCTAAAATAATAACATTAAAGATAAATTATGAAGTAACGTTGTTTTTCATACTTCACAATTCAGTTTGCGTGTACTCATTTGAATATTTACTTTTCATCACATAACTTCAGCTAGTTTTGAAGCAAAACTTGTCTTGAGTTTATTTTATTCATATTAATTGTTTCAGTACAGTTTGGACTTATTAAAATATTCAGCAGCGTAGTGGGATTAATCTTTTACATTTATTTAATGGCTGATTTGAAAATAAATTGCTAATATTTGACATTTTACTCAAATCACTTTAATTCTACAGCTATTTATGTTTGAGCAATGTATAAAAATTTATTTTTCAAAATGTAATGTGAAGTACAATGCAAAAGTTGTAAAACTTAACATAGATGAGGATTAATTAATGCGAATCATATGGTTAATTTTAAACTAATTTTTCACGCTTTGTATCATCACGATATATTTTAATAACTACGCAGAGATATGATTGGTATATATACTAAAACTATAGTTATTTTATTTTAAACTATAGTTTTAATTCATTATCTGTGATTGAGATGAAATTTTTACTCTATTTCTAGAAAGCAAAAATTAGCTTTTATAAATAATTTACAAATTAAATACTTTCAAAATGTAAGATATACATATTCCAGATGTAACCTTCAACAGGTGTTTGACTTCTGTTAAATTTGGCCGACAAAATTAATTGATGTATTAATAAAACTTAACTAGTAATAGTCCAAATGTTCATAAAACAGAAAGTACTGAAGTGAAAGTTGTGTTTGTTAAGTAACTGAGAAAGTTACATTCAAAAATATGCTAACGTAGTTAATCTGATTACAACTGCAATATATTCCACAATTAACTTCAGATAAGGAAGAAATTCTGTTCATAATTGTTTTAGCCAACAAATTTGAAGTAAAGTACTCAGTTTAAAAATATTATATCTCAATATAGGCAATCTTTTTTCTCAAGAATCAGTATCAATTTTTAGCATAACTTGCGCATGAGTTTAATTTGTAGTTTTAAAACTATAGTTTTCAAAAAACCAGTCTGATTCAGATCAAAACTGTATAAAAATAATGGTTAGTATTTGTTGCCTACTTTCGAATCACAAAACATTCAGTCAATTTTTTTGCTCATTTGTTGATTATAGCTGTCTTGAATCAAAATTTTCCATTGTTCAAATCAATAACACATATAATAATAATTCATAATTGGAAATGATATCTGTGTTATTATGCAAAATTTTTTTGCACATGAAATAAAATCAATCTTGCAAATTGGGAAACTACAAAAGTGAGTCCACAAAAATTATAATATCAATCGCGCAAAATTACAGTAAAAAATATTTGAGTAGGACTTTTTGATTAAAAATTAATTTTAATTTAATAAATTTGAATGAGCAAACTTGAACTTCATGATAAAATTCATAAAGGTTTAAAGTGAGCAATGATATATGGAGTCTGGCAATACTCTTCATTTTATTATTTAATTTTGATTCATTAATGATCTTTTGGCTGCTAAAATTACAGTAATTAAATTTCATCGAAACATCAACGTAAAATATTTTGCTATGTTCCAAAAAAAATGATAAAATATTGTTTGTTAAAAATTTTGATATCTAATAAAAATAAATTTGCATTTTTCTGCAGATAACAACGCTATTAAAATTTTCAAAATTGGCTAATAATACTTACTAGTTGGAAATCAAAATATAGCCAAGAATTTAAACGAAAACATCTTCGATGAATTGATATAATTTAAATTTTATGAGTTAAATTTATTATTTTAGAATAAAGATGCTTAGTCCAAATGATTGATAGTAAGAACAGAATTTTAACATTTAAGCAATTGCTTCTCACATTCTGTGAAGCACAACTTTCTATTTCTGCTAATAGTAAAATCACTAAGTAAATAGTAAAAGATAAATTACTTATACTTTTGAGAAGGAAATTGGACAATTTCAGAATCCCACACAATACTTTAAAAAATTGTGGATAACTGGGAAATTTTTAATAATTAATTGCAACTTTTGGTAATTCTTAGCTAATTTTGAATTTATATAACTTTAAAAATTTCAGAGAATCTAAAATTTTCCAGTAAATTAATGATAATGACTGCAGACTAGATTTTTTTTTCTGCTTAAGAAAGAACTTTAAAATAATGTTAAATTCTTGACAACTTTGAGTTCCAGAAAAAATTTAAATGTTGATTTTTTGCAAATTAAAAATTTTTTCACAATTTTACAATTTTTAGTAGAGAGAATGCTTCTGACAGAAGTAAAATTGCTAATGAATCATTCAAAATTGTTTTCAGAGCTACAGTTTTCAAGCTAGTTATTGTCAGTATTCTTCAAGATGATGACTGTTTTTTTATTTTACCTTTGCCCTCTCGAGATTTACTTTCTCTAAACTTTTCAATCTAGTTATAGCACAAAATATTTATCCTTATTTAATGCTTCCAATTCTTTTAATAACCAATTCTTTTTATCCGATCAGTTCTGTTTGATTTCTTTAATAATTTTTAATTCAAAAAAAAAAACGCTCAATCAAATTTTACTTTATAAACAGTTATAATTTTATACGCTTGAAAAGTAAACTCATCAAAACTGATCAGAGTATATCTGTAAGCATATGTCAGTATGTGCGTGTATGTGTGTGTGTGCGTGTGTGTGCGTGTGAGTGTGCGTCTGTGTGTGCATGTGTGTGCGTCTGTGTGTGCAAAGTGAACTTGAAGAGGAAAAATTGTAAAGAACTCAAACTCTCGACTTCATTCAAGCTTTCCTTCCTTTCTTTCGCTTTCCTATTAAATAGTAAGTTGCAATTCCTTCGCTAATAATATTATCGCTTTTCAAAATTTGCTCGTAAAATTTAACTAAACTTTTTATACAAAAGTAATTAAGTAAAATTAGTCAGCACAAATTTTTAATTACTGCACGAAATTGGAGGAATAAGAAAATTAAATCAATTAAACAAATATTTATCAATTAATTAAATCAAATTTTAAAAAGAAATAACAAATTTTTAGAGTTTTTGGTATCTGATTATTCAAATAAAAACTTATTAGTATGTTTTTAAAATTAATTTTGTTTTAATTTATGAGAGTGAGAAAAAATTAAAAAAGAACAGTTTAAAAATAAAACTTAATTCAAAAATTTATCAACTTGTTCTGATTTAAATTGATATTAAAAATTTCAAAAATAAAAATTTATAGAAAATATAGATGAAATTTATATTATAAATACAAATTTGTTATTTACTTTATACTAAAAATTCTATTTTATTGAACTATTATTTGTTGCAAAATCTTTACTCTTTAGTAGTAGCCAAAGCTTACGCTAATCCACAATTTAATCTTTTTATTTTTTTAAATAATTTTGCAAAACTTTTTTTTACAATTTTTAAATCTGCGCAAGCATTACAACTTTTAAATATTTTCAATCTTTTTTCATTTTACCTTCAAAATTTATAAAAAATTTTGAAGATATAAAAGCAAACTGTGACTAATTTTTTTTCACACTCTTAAATTGTCCTCAATTTTACTTTAATTTTAGTTAAATTGGAATATAATATATAAATTACTTAATTTAATTCACTCAAAATTCGCACCAAATATTATTAGTTATAAGTTATTAGCAAATATTACATACAAATTGAGGTAGCAAAGTTTTAAAAATTGCGATAGTTACAAATTCACTCATCAGTTTAATCAATTTTTTTCAATTTGTACGTTTTGATTACAATTTTTTTATAAAAGTATTAAATGTATTCAGTGCAAAGATTTACTTCCTAAAAGGAAATTAAATTTTATATTCATTCTTTCAGCTAATATAATTTTCAGTACTTACACCATTCATTCTGTAACTATCAAATAGATTCACTGTGATGGATGGAATTAATTGATGTTTTTATACGATTGATTTGCTCATTTTATCAATTTTACCTTTTTTTGAATTCATAATTTTGAATGTAAGTCAGCATTTTAGGCTAATTCTAGAATGACTTTTGTGTTACAACTGGTACAAGCTATCAAATTTCAAACATTTATGCTCGAATTTCTTTCAAATATGGCAGCAAATTGAGGCTAGGCGAATTTTAAGCTGTCAAATTTCATTTATTTTGGGAATAAATCTGTCTGAGAATATAAAATTAAGTGTAAATTAAGTTTGTTTTTGGACAGTTGAATTATTTGGCAATTTCAATTGGAGAGAAGAAAACATTGCACAAATTTTTGACTTCAAATACATTTGCTAACTCCCGCCAATTTAAAAACAATGCAGAAAGCAAAATAGCGAAATTATTTGAGAAAATTTGTTTTTTGAAAAATTTTCCCGTAATTATTTTTTTAAATTTTAGTACAACTTTTCGAATAACTGATATTTAAAAATTTTAATCCTTAGTAATAGAATTGAGATTGCTTGATTTTAGCTAATATTTTCCAATATTTTTTTTTAAACTGACAGAAAAGTGTTGTAATGAATCAGTTATTCGAAAAGTAAATATGAAAAGTGGCGTAAGCTTTTTTCGTCTGTAATAATTTTCAAAGCTAGCGGTTGTTGTGCGAGAGTTCATTACAAATGTAGAAACATTAATGATAAACGTGAAAAAAAATGATGGTAAATGGTGGAAACATTGAAAAACAATATTAAAAAATCAAGTAGGCGAAAAATTTAGCATATGAAAGAGGAAAAGAAAATTGAAAAAACGTGGTGGTGACTTGTACATGAAAAATTAAAATCCACGTCGTGTTAATGACGTAGAATTTCAGCAGATGCCATCAGAGGCATCTTGTTCGGCCTTTGAACCACAAACTTATCTTCAAGAACGTTGCAAAAAATGCTTCCGTTTACGTTCAAAGCACGATACTGAGAACAACCTAGAAAAACCTATTTCTGCTACTACAAATAATTCCAACGATAGCAGCGTCGATCAGTCTACTGCTACAAATTGTAAGTTTCGAACAGTTATTAATTAAATTAACTAATTACCATAATTATTGGATCAATTAATTGTTAATTAATTAGCCATTTCACTGACAAATATACTAATCAGATGTGAAGCACTTAAAATTCTTATATTGAAAACTGTACTGTTTATTAATAATAAGTTGCAAATAACAAAGCACCACATAATAAGCTAACAATCTACAAAAGAGATATTAATAAAGTTTTGAAAATATATGACAATATGTACAATTAACTTATTTTAAAATTGTTTTAGATATGTTTTAATTAGTAATCTGACTTTCATTTATGATCAATCAAGTTTAATCTTTGAGCGCCAGAAAGGAATAATTCATGACTTGACCTCCAAACCTAAACTTTACCTTTAAGGAAATTAAAGGAAATAATTATGTAATTTTCGTTAATTCAAGTATTAATCCTTGCATTTTTTGAATTATTGCAGAAGAAAGAAATTGAAAATTTATGTAATAACATATTCGTAAATTTTTATTCAAAAAATATTGCTAAATTAATGCGAAAAACCAAAAAATATTTCTATGCTTTATTCAAAAATTCACATTAACGAACTAATTATCGTTAGCAAATTTGATTGAGATAAATAGCATGCATTAAAATCTTTTCTTCAATTTTTTTATTTAAAATTTATGATTTTCATTCAAAAACTTATTGATAGAATCGTTATAAATTATGTAAGAATTTAGCAAAAATACTTTTTATAATATTTTTCATAAAATAGACTAAAGTAAATACCAACTAAATTTTTCCAATAATTAGCATATCTGATTTTTTCTTTTTTAGCACAATTTGATGCTAACAATTTTATCCCCTATTTTTTAGCCCATAATAAATTTATTTTATAAATTAACTATTATCAAATAATTACGCCAAAATTAAGATCAATGTTGTTCCTTTCTATTTTGCTTAATAAGATAACAATATCAGTTTTACTAAGGTTTTACCTAATTTGAAGACAGTATTTATTATCATAATGACTTTCTAAATACTCTTCAAATAATAATATTTTTACTTACATTATATTAGGATGAATTTATCCTGAAATCGCTATTTTTGTAATTAAAAATTTTGTAAAACCTTTGAAATGTATGTACTTTTGTTGTGTCTAAAAATAATTTACATGTAAACATAAAGTGATATTTAGACAAAACAAAATTTGTGCTCAATATTTATAACAATTCTTATTATAGTGATAAAAATATGATAATGAAAGTGAATGGCATGAAATTAAAACTGTTAATACAGTACTGCACTTGACGATTTATTAATTATTCATATTTGTATTTTTTTTTTTGCATTCTTTCTTTCAACTTTTGTACTTAATATAAAAATATATTTAAAATAGTTTATGCTTTTTAGTATTGCTTTTATTTTAGAAAAATATTGCTTTGTTGGATATTTATACAAATTAAAATTTTATATTTCTTGAAGATTTTCAACAAAGTCACAATTATTCAAAATTTTTACGAAGTTTTATTTACTTATTCAAATTTCTTCGATTCATTAAAGATTATAGTAAGTCTTCAATTAAATTCGTCTTGTAGGAAAAAAATCGCATATCTTCTTAATATTATATGACAAGACAATTATATCATTTGCGACTATATATGTGTTTATAATTTGTTTGAGGATGTGTTGCAGACGTATACATATATGACTAATATATGTATAGAAAGGTAGATGGATAGATAGATAGATAGATAGATAGATAGGTAGATAGATAGATAGGTAGATAGATAGATATATGGATACATTTTTTTTCACACACGTATATATTTAAGAAAAATTTTTAAATTGAGGAATGAATGATAAAAAAAAACTAATTATGAACAAAAATTGTAAAAAAGTAACGAGCAAACTAAAGAAGAAATGCTATTTTCTACTAAATTTCTTTAAGGCCAGTGTGAGTTCTAAAAAGCCTTTTTCAGTTTTTTTGTCATCTGGCAAATATGTTTTATTTAAGCATCATTTTAAAAAAATCAATTTTTGACTTTTATAACTTTTTACTTAATTTTTTATATCAGATTTTATTTAATTGAAAACTTAAAAACTTTGAAAGTTAATAAGATTAGAATTTGTTATTTCAATTAAAAATTGTTGAAACAATTTTATTTATGAATTCAAAAGTTTTGTTTTTTGAAATTTGAAAAAACAATTTTGTGCAAAAATTTTTTAAATATTAAAAATTTGCAAAAAAAAAAATTATGTAAGTAAAACAAAAATTGAAATTTTACAGCTCCAAATCGAGAACGAAATCGAGAAAAACGACGATCTTGGAGAGATAAAACGTCTTCAATCACGCAAGATAACGGTGCACCTGAACATGTAAGTGAAGGTTAGTGCAGCAATTTTTAATTTTAATTAGTGTTTTTGATAGTTTGAGCCAAAATATCATTTTTTAGCAATATAACTATCAAAAAAATATCTCTGTATATGTAATTCATAATACTAAAAAATCAAATTTTAAATATTCAAAAAAAAAAACTAAAATGTTAGTATAAATAAGCAATATCATTTATCAGCTCAAAATAAATTTTATAATTTTTTAGAAAAAATGATAATGGTACTTTTTGTTGTAAAATAAGGGCGAAAACTTTAGTACCAACCATCGTAAAAGGGGAGGAAGAATAACAATAGTAATAGTAATGACAGTAATAACTGTAAGGTTATTAATAAAGACAATGATAATAAGAATAACAGAAATGATAATAAACGAGATTTTAAAAAAGTTGTAATAAAACTATCGTCAACGAAATATTAATGATAATGATGATGACTGTTGGAAAAATTATCACAATCAACAATCAGATAAAATGCTGATGTACAATAATTCACATCGAATTCTTAAGATAACAGTGATAAAATGCTAATTACATTAGCAGCTATCTAGGAATGATCGTATTAATAATTTTTCTATTAATTTATTTCAAAATATTATCCTATTTATAAATAAAAAAGTTGAGATAAATACTTTGTATACTTCGTTTGTTGTGCATGTTGAAATATAAAGAATTTCCTGTGTTTTATCCTTTCTAATTTTTTTAATTTCCTAAAGAAAATAAAAAAATAAGTAAATTTTTTAATTAAAAAAATATGATGGATGTGCATGAATGAGTATTGCAGTAGTTGACGATGACGTGACCTCGCTGACCTCATATAAATCTGCAAACTCAAAAGGTGTAATGAGTGCTAAATCTGCTGAAAGTGTCTCAGACACGAAAAGTATGATTACAGCTATTTCTGACAGTTTAGTAGACGACGAACGTTCCATTACACCAGTCTTAGACGAATCGGTGACTGACTAATTTGTATTCAATTTTTAAGTATGATTGAGTATGCTTAAGATTAGTCTTAGAATATGATTTAAAGAATAAAACTGATTACATTTGGTTAATGCAACTTTTAATTAATTGACTAAAAAATTACTTGAGTTTATTTTTAGAATTTTGATTTGGCAATGATGAAGTCGGAAATGGCTAGACTGACTGAGGAAGTAACAAAATTAAAGGAAGAACGACAAAAATGGACATCTCGAAGGTTTCAGTGTTATTAAATCCTTTATTTTTATATATGTTTTATTTTTTCATTTTACTAATTAAAATATATTTTGTAGAGAGAAATGTGGCAATGAAGAAGACCAGTCTTTTATCGAAATATTAGAAGAACGTTTAGCTGAAGCAGAAAGTTGTATACAGGACTATCGAGATGAAAATACTGTTTTAAAATGTGAACTAAGAGAGTTACAAGTAATGGAAATTACATTTTTTTATATGTCACAAAAATAATCCATCAATTAATTAAATTTTTAGAACAATTTGTTTTATCTTGTCAATTATTTACAAATAAGATTAAAATTAAAATTTTATCATTAGTCTATCTAATATTCATGCTTAGACTACATCACTTGCACAAGCTTCAAATTTAAAGTTTGAATACAAGGCTTTAAATTTAGATTTTATATGTTTAGATTCTCTCAATTATCTACTTTAATTTTTATGTCTGAATCTTATCACTTACTAAATCAATCATAAGAAATATACGTAAAATGCGTGGAATCAGAAGCTAAGTCCGAAATGAAGCAGTTAAGCTTTCTTTATTGTGTGATGAATAGACTAAATTTCGCTGATTAGAATCCGTTGTGCATCTAAGCAAAATGAACAAAAAAAGCTTAGCTCTTTCATGTCGTATGTGAAAAATGAATGATTGGATAAGCAAATTAACACTAATATTTGATAGATTTTTAGATTAATTTTTTGATTTTTTACACTTTTCGTATTTTAATAATTTAGTTTTTTAATCTTTTTGTCATTATTTTTTAAATTTTCCTAATTTTTCTTTATTTGCGAATAATTTAACTGTCTGACTTTATTTGCTTATTGTTGTTGAAGCGAGCGACGTGGAAAATAAACGCTAAAAACTTGAATTATTAATAATCTGAAATGCTTTTATCTTTTTGCTGCAAATAGGAAAACTAATTATGCAATGCTTTTGTTGTAAAACTTGTACATTTTTGAAATAATTATTACGGAAAAATTATATAATGATTCTAGCATGACTGTTCTTACTATAAAATTTAATAATAATAATAATAGCAATTATTAATAATAATATTAATAATTTTAGCAACAAATAAATTCTATCTCATAATTATTTAATCACTGACGTATTAATTAGTGACTGATCTAATTTTTTAATTTTTCTTTTGTAATTTATTTCCATAGTCAATACAAGGGTATATATTATAGAACTGATTCAGTTAGAATGCACTTATTTCAGTTCAATTGTAAGCAAGTTGAAGATTGAAGATGATGAAAAGAAATTTTCAGAAATTTTTCAGGAATGTGGTGAATCAGCGGGCAATAGCAATGATGCTAACGTTAAATTAACTGAAAAACTAAAAGCTTCTGAATCGCTTTGTGATGAATTGATAGAAGAAAATGAATCACTCAAAACTGATATTAAAGATTTACAACAAGAAATTGAAGAAATGCAAGTAAGCATTTTTGTATAATTTATGTGGATAACTTTTAAAAAGCAATGTCTTCTCATGAACTTTAATTTAAACTTTTATCCAGTCATGGATGCAGGGAACAGCTCAAATTATTAAACTTATATCTACTGCTAAAGTAGTTACAGGTCAGTAATAGCTGAATTTCAATATTATAAATAAATGAGTTGAAATGTCTAAATTGCTTTAATATGATATTCCAACTTGTATTCGATAATTACCTTTACATTTAAATTTATACAATTTTAGAAATTCGAGCTTTAATTTTAATTTATTTAAAAAAATACATGAGTTAATTTAAATATTTTAAATAAGGATATCATAACAGTAAAATTGGCATTGTTTCAAACATTATTTATGAATTTATACTTCAAATCCTTGTAAACAACATATTAAAAAAATCATGTTCTTCGCTTAATGAAGAAAAGGCAAGTAAAAAAGTTATGCTTACGTTGTCTGAGAAAAAAAGTTTGATCAACAGTTCATGTATTTCAATAATATTACAAGTTACTTATTATTAAAGGATCAGTATCGTGAGGAAGAAATTGAAGAATTCCGTGAACTGCAACGTGAATTAGAGCAAAATGCCAAAAATTGTCGTATATTGCAATTTAAACTTCGCAAATCTGAACGATCACGTGAGCAATTAGATGCTGAGAAACAGCATTTGGAAGCTAAAGTTAGGGTAAGTTAAAGTTTATACATGACTGCTATAATAATGATTATTATTTTGATATTTAAATATTCATAAACATCGTGTCGCCTTTTTGGTTACATATGCGCTAAAATGATTCCTTTCAAAAATTATTGTTTTTTCAAAAAACTAATTTCAAAATTTCATAGCAGTAAAATAGTTTATACAAATTATAATGATTTCCAACAGCATAAAAATTTGAAAAATATTTGAAAAGTTGTAGAGAACATTTTTGATTTTTTTTTTGCAGGATCTGTTAGAAGCTTCGTCTGCAACAGGCGGGCTTCTTACAACGAACAGGCAGATGGATTCCATGAGAATCAGAGAATTGGAATCTGAACTGAGAATTGCTAAAGAAGTCTCAGTACGACTTCACAATGAGTTAGAAAATGCGGAAGAACGCCGATATAAATTAGAAGTAATTTTTCAATGTTGAAACACTGAAATAAGTTTGGGATAAACAAGGATCGATAAAGGATTCAGAATCTTTACTCAATCACTGCAGCTCTTTGCAATGTTTATTGAATTCTGAATCCGCATAATTTGACACTGATTTGTTTTTAAGCGTTTTCATGTATGAATTCGACAGTAAATTACTTAAATTAAATTTCGTGTAAATTGAAATAATTTTGCTATTATTTGGATTGTAGTCTTATTTTAATGCATGAATTTAATTCATCAATAATAAAATGTTTAAAATTAATTTTTGCGTATTAAATTTTAAATTAAATTTTGTGCAATTTTAATTTAATATTTTAAATTAAGTTTATCTTGTAAATAAGAATTTCAGGATGAAATATTTTATATGAAAGACAAAGTTCGAGAGCTTCAAACACAGAACAAATGGCGTGAAGCAAGAAATCGTGCAGAATTACAAGCGGTGATCTATTTAAAGCTCAATTTTTAATTAATTTTCACAATGTATTCTGATATAATACTTATTTAATGTTATTCGGTATCATAATACTTGATCTATTAATTAAGTTTTCTATGATTCTTCCGTTGAATTTTTCAATATAATTACGAAGTGGTCCAATGATAAAACATTTTTTTAATCTTTAATCAATGATAGGATATAATTAAAATGATATTTAATTGATATGTGTGTTAGCTAAATATGTACACTTAGCTACGAATAATTGTTTGAAATGAGTATATGATTTTACCAAAACTTTAGGTTTACTTACGTAATTCTGAATAAATGCATGAAATTTGAGTGATATTTTGCAACAAATTAGCAATTTTAGAAAAGAATAAGTTCTGATTTGACGATTAATTCAAATAGTTCTGAAACAAGCAAAGAAATGCAAGATGTGCTCGAACGAGAAGCTGATTTAAAGGATCAGCTGAAATTTGCTGAAGAAGATTTACGACGAACACAGATTAGATTACAAGTAAATGTCATTGTAATTGTTTATTTAAGTTTGAAATTTTAATTTAGACTATATTTTTTCTTAATTTTTAGGCAGAAAATATAATTTCACTAGTTTAGGATGTTGAAAATGAGAATGAAGAATTGCTGAAAAAGTTGACAAGATTTAAGACTGTAAAAAAGCCACCAGTCACGAGATCCTTCAGGTAATGCTTTATAGCAATATAAATTGTAAGAAAAACTTTTGAAGCAAACGTGAAATAATCTAACAATATATTTACACACAACCTAATCTTTACCTGTCATTAGATTATAAACGGCGAAGCACTTGATAAAATTTGCATGCATTTCGAATTCGTATTCATCTCAACTCATTAATTTTTTAAATCAAAATTGCAAGAAATTTGGTAAGAATTGAGTGATTTGCCAAAACTGCACTAAGTAACAAAAACTTTATTGTGGTGGTAAATGAGCATGCCACACGTCTAAAAAATTATTATACTGGGGGAAAACTGGAAACAGAAGACTTTAGAGCTATAAATTACGATATCAGGCAGTTACTTAATAAATGCGGGATTCATTCATAATTAACCTACGTGTTACAAGAGGCGTGATAAGCTAACTTCAATGACTGAAATTAGCTTGTTCCTCTGCATTTTATGGATAAGATAGGAAGCATACCCCGCAAGATGAAGCACGATACTATCACCTCTAAGATAGGAATATGTTTGGAGCTGGGAAGGAATATGCTAACATTGTAGGGAACGTGTGAAGACGGTGGACCATCTAGCAACGCAATGTGAAAAAATGTTACTTCACGGCTATACTTGAAGGCAGGCACAGTGAAGTCCTACGATGCATCCATTGGAACTTTGCGAGAAGTATGGTTAGAGAGGATTCCCACACAAGTGAAGCCACTTCTTTCTCAGAAGATCGTAGCAAATGATAACGTGGAGATCGAGACGCAAGTAAGAAGAGTGATTAGAATAAAGATGGAACAACCGGACACCCTGGTGTACAATATGAAATAATCTTGATAGAGGTTAGCAACACTAGTTTGGACAGATTAATAGCAATCAAAACCAAAAGACGGAGGAAGCATAACAGACTTGCTAATAAACTGTGGTCAGAGATGAAATGCAAGACGAAAATAATTTCGTACGTGATGACTAGGGAAGGGGAAGTGACGAAATTCCACTGCGCTAAGTAAAGAAAATTTGTATATCTGATCACGTCAAGGCATATATCCAATCGATAGTGCTCAAAAAGACGTTCGAAGGCATTAGCAGAAGTGAGCGCAGGACGATTAGAGTAAGAATGCCAGAACATGAAGCAATATACCAGAACCAGAATCAGTTATGCAGCAGAAAATAAACTAACTTTCGTGTGATATTCTGTTATGTTTTCTCAATAAAAATACCTAAAATTTCCTTTTTATTTTGTCTAATGTAATAGCAATCAATTTACCCTTGCATGTAATTATTGAGTGATATTGCGTGAAACTTCCACGTACGCTGAGAGGTGATTTCAGTGAAGGAAATTCTCAGATACAACTTGAATTGGCTGAACATGAAATGGAACAATTATCAACGAAAATGGAACATTTGGAAAAAAAAAACATCCATCTTTCAAAGAAGTACTAAATTTTTTTTCGACAAATAGTGCTGATTATTCATTATATCTATGGCAATGTTTCTGAAGCAATTCATCATAATAAGTAACAAAATTGCACTGCCATCAAGTTACTAATGTAATAAATTGAAGCTTTAATTAATTATTTTCCCTACATAATTTTTCAAACAATTAATGACATAGTGATGACTTCTACTCCTCACAATAATATATTCTGAAATAAGTAAGTTTTTAATTCCATTACGTCTAAATGAATTTATTTTCATTATTATATTGATTCTATATTTGTTTAGACTGTAAATAATTTGAGCATTTTACTGCTTTGTACAAATTAAGCATTCATTTTCTGTGTATTTTCCACTTTTTAATCACACTAAATCATTGTTTAATTTTTTTTTGTTTACTGTATCAGATCAAAAATATTTTAAATTTTAAAAATTGGACTTGTTAATTTGAAATTGATATTTGTAGAATATTAGAAATGGAAATGGATTCTCAGAAAAATTTTGAAAATGGTGGAACGACTACTGGGCGCGTTAGTTTTACTTTTTAAACTTTTGATTGACTTAATCATTTTGGCATTGAAAGATATTACTTTTCTATTCAAATCAAATCTTATTCAAGAATTCGTCTATTAGTATTGCTTTAAGTTATTAATTCACAGTCTTTTGTACTGTGTTTTAATTATTATTGAAAATTGCTCTAAACGAAATTTAAAAAATAACTATAAAATTTGGTTTCGATATGAATCTCAGAGGATCGAAATTTATAGTTTTGACCTTGCTACGTGTACTTACTTCACGCATTAGTTATTTGTTATATTAGACAACATTATATAAAATAAAATTGGAAATTACTTGAAAATTTTGACTTTATGTTGAAATGTCGTCATTTTCATAGTCGATTTCTTGCAGATATACGATAATTTTATTAAAATTTCAAAAGACATTGTTATATGCTTACGTTACGTGTACGTATCATAGCATATGATCACTTGAGCAGTATAGTTGAACATTTAATGCTGACATTAAAATTAATTATTGAAATTTTATTCAGATCATTTTGCAGTTAAACCAATTAAATTTGTAGTGAATTAAGAACGCTATTTGTAAGCAGCACTATATTCTCCAATTCAATGAAATTTAAAAATCTCAACGTGAAGATGTACATGCTGACTTTAAATATTATGTATTATTTATTCGTTTAAAATATTTAATACCTAAAATGTGGTCAATTATTGTAAAAGTTTTAAATTTAAGGCGTCACAGTTTGAAATGACGTCCGAAATGCAACGTGACATTGGCAAACTGATGACTACAATTAGTGATCTGGAGCGTAAAAATTTAGATTTAACGATGCAGCTAAAACGACAAAACGAACTTAGCATGTCGACGACGTCCGAAAAATGTTTTTTTTCAAAGACCTTTATATTATTAAAATATCACGCTTTTAATTATAATTGTGAATTTAATTATAAATTTACTGAATTTAATGAAATGAAATGGCATGCAAACTTTTTTGTTATGAATGATTTTATTTAAAAAATATTTTTATAGATGTAGATGAGTAAATTAATTGTAAGTATTAGAAGTAATTATGGATAGTTATTCAGTGATTTTTCATGATTTACAAATATTCCAAGTATATTTCTAATAAATGACAATCACAATGAACATCAGAATTTGTGGAAAATTTTAATAATTCAAAAAAAAAATGGTCAGATTAGCAAAAAAGTGAAAAAAGTTTAGCTCAAGCGGAATTACGAATTGAGCAAGAACACAAAAAAATTATCGAAAATGAATTGATGGAGCTCAAACGAATGATGCTTCAGTCTGATAATCAAAAGTTAATCTCGATGGCTACAAAGGTCATGTTCCAGAATTCAGATCTTTTTAAGTACTAATTCTGCAAAGAAAAATAAATTATCGAGAATGAGTTATTGGGACTGTACTTTTTTTTACTTGTAAGCATTTCAGATTATATAATTTCTCGTATTTATTGGTCAGCGAGTGAATATAATGATTCAAATAAATTTATGTCCGAAGTATTTATTCACTAAGACTACAATTCTGATGGCATGTGATGTGTGAATTATATTTATAAAATTTTTCTTTTATTCTTAAAATCAAATTTTTTAAAATTTGTAAATCAGAAACATTTTTTCCGGACTTAATTATTTGATTTTCAAGTTCATATTTAAGGTTGAGTTACTAAACAATCAACTTTTGCTCGTAAATGACCGATGCGCTAATCTCCATCGTAAAATAGTTAAAGATGGCGGGAATGAAACAGTTTATTTGGTCAGTGTACCTTATGAACTATTCACTTCAATTTATTATAAGTATTATTTATAACAGTAGTGAGTATTTAATCTAAAGTCCAAAATTTGTCGTAATGCAATTTGCAACATTCATTCTTCAATATTTATGAAGAATTTGAATATTTTATAATATAAAAAAACAATTATAATTTATATTTTGATTGAAATGTTTGTGTGTAATCAATTTTTAAATTACAGTAAAAAAAACTTAGCACATTCTTACTATTCATTGGAATTCATTTATGTTCATGCAGTAATCGTAATAAATATTTAAATTACTTAGAAATAATATCGCTAAATTCATTTGATTCTCTGTTTTTGTCTAGAATTCAGTACACAATTAATAAACGACAAAGCTCAAATGCAGTAACGTTATTCATAATAATTTTCAGATGCTCATTTTATCACTAATGATGATAATAAAGGCAGAAAGGATAATAATAATAATAACGATAACAATAATAATATTATTATCATTATTATTACTGATAAATAGCATGAATTACAACTATAATTTTTTCTGTTCATTATATTGAATTTTTTTGAAGGATGCGATGAAGAACAAATGTGAAGAATTGGAAAGACAACTAAGCGAGGAAAAAGCTAAAAACGCCACAAGTGCCATGCAAATTAATAGTGCCACCACGGACGAGGTTTAAAATCAAATAATATAAATAATTAAAAAGATTGTCAGATTATTTGTTTTAATTTTAAATAATTTAGCAATGACAAATATATTTTTAGTTCAAATATTATCATTTTTGTGTACTTTATTGATTGAACAAAGTATAATTACAGTAAAATTAGTGCTTTTATTTGAAGACTTTTGTATATTTCAGATTGAGCAATGTTGTGAAGTGCTTGCATCCGTTGAAACGCAAACCAATCGCATTTGCAAACAAATTGAAAAAATTGACAATGCACAAAAAGTACTTGCTTTTTTCTATCATTAGCAATTAATTTAATTTAATTCAATTAAACTAATTGGATAAGTTTTGGTATTTTTAGGGGAGAATTAAAGACACAAAAATAACTTCTTATTTTTTGATTTTCTCTACTTGATATATTAATATAGCTAGCTAGAAGGAAAGTAAAGGAAGAAGAATTTTAGTGTCCATTTCATGGAAGATGATAGCCTCAATTTTTTATTACTTGGAGTATTTTAACAATTACGTGACCTTTGAACTATTATTTACTTTATAGGTGTATTATAGTGATACCATTTCTAACTAATATATTTTGCATGTTAAAAAATTTTTGAACTAATTTAAATAATTTAGCAATGACAAATATATTTTTAGTTCAAATATTATCATTTTTGTGTACTTTATTGATACACCTAATAAACACAAAATTGATCTTGTCAGCAACTGTCAATGATGAACGTTTATTTTTGCATATATTAGGATGAACGACGACGTTCACTATCAAAAGATGGCAGTGCGACAATCATCGCAGAGCTTGCGAGTGTAATGAGCGAACTTAATAACGTTCATCATCTGCTTGAAGCTCATAAGGTTGTTTACTTACTTATAGCTATCTGTGCTAATATTTTATCTGATTTACTTTTGTGACTATGTAATGTATTAAATTTAAGTGATAATGCTTAACGATTAGAACTTCACTGAAATAATCATTTAATAAAGGTTTAATGTGAAGAGAAATTCAAATTTTTCATTCGTAATAATATTTCAAATTTAATTTGCAATAGCTTTAATCTGACTATTCAATTATTTCTTACTGTTTAATTCATCTCCTATATTTGTGACTAAATCAAAAACTTACAAAAAATTAAAGTTCAATTTTATTGTTAAAAAAACAAATAATTAATTGTATATCAGTTTAAAAATTTTGATTTTAGGTTATTATTGCTAACGTCGCTCGTCGTTCACCAGTAAAAAATATATCAAACGTTGATTTAGAATCGAAACCTTGCGATCAGTGTCTAGAAAATTTGACTCTGATTGAATCACAAAAAGACGAAATTGTTTTCTACAAGAAGAAAAATAAGGTATTCATTTAATCAAAAAGCTTTACTTCAAAAATAATATATTTTCAGAACTGATTTTTTTTTATTAAGAATCAAAACTTAATCTTGTTTTTATAATTTGTAGGAGCTTACAAACCAAGTACTGCAAACAGAAGACCGATGGACCGTTGAGATCGAAAAACAACGACAAACCTATGAAAATGAAGTGAAACTTTATAATCAGAACTCATGAAAATAACAAAATTGAAAAAATTTGTGGTAGAAATATACAAAAAAGAAAGAACTGTAATGAGAACTTTTAATATTTATTTGATATATAAGAAGACAGTGGATTCTGCATATGACTTGAGACGAAAATACTGAGATGCTTCTCGCAGCTAGTAGTAGTCCAAAAATTTGCGTAAAGAACGCAAAAAATTCAAGCAAAACTCTGAAAACTTTTAAGTATTTTCTAAAAACTTTAACTTAATTTTTTTATAGCATTGATATATGTCTGCCTTTTATTAACTAAATAGAAATTATATATACATGTTATTCAGTTATTTATGGAAAGATTTAGTTACATATGAATTTGAATGATTATATGAATTACATGAATCACAAGTGTTTTGTATTCATAAACTGTAAGATTATTATTGTTTCAAGATTAAGTTTGAGTGCGAAGAAAAAACAATTATTAATCTAATTACAATCAATTTCAGTAATTTTTGTAATTTACAACAACTTTTCTGCAGGCAAGACTTTTACGTACAAAGTTGAGTGACACGCAAAAAAACGTTTGCGAGCAAGAACATTTGCTAGAATCAAGGGCTGTAGCTTTGGCTGAGAAAGTTCGCATGATTCAAGAACGAGATGAAAAATGTGATCAACTTAAAGTAGAAGTGATCAATTTGAAAAAAGATATCCAGGTAGAAAATTACTAAAATACATTTACGTAAACTGAAAACCTTTGCGTCTTAATTTCACCAGAAATTTTTTTTCAAATTTTTAAACAAAAAATATAATCAGTTGTGTGCATACTTTTAGAAAATTTTTTCTTTATTTTTAAGTAAGAAATTTTTTTGATAATTTTTTAAAATCAGTTTATATCAATTTGATAATTATGAAAATTTTTTTTCAACGTTGATATGCAATGAAAAAAAATCATAGACTTCTTTTACGTGTTTTTAGTTCCAGTTTGTATGCAATGATAAATATAGTTTTTCAGGAAATTGAAGCCGATCGGAAGTCAGCAAAGGAATTTGAAATAAAATATAAAAAGTTAGAATCCATGTTCGATGCAGAAAAAGAGAAGTTATCTCAGGAAAGAGCCAAATACAAGTCTGAAATTGCTCTGCTAAAGAAGAAATCAGAAGCAACGCTGATTGACCTCGGTAAAAACCAGAAAAAAATGCGTTAAAATTCAAAAAAATACCTTTGTAAGATCAAAATACAAGGCTGTAGTTGAACTTTGGATGTAATCCAGTTATCACCATCAATTATTAACATTTTAAATAATTAACAATCAATCTTTATCAGGCGTAATAAAAATATTTTTTCACTTATTATTGCCAAATACGAAAAATTCAAAGCAAAAAATTTCAGATACTCTAAAATCAGTAATTAATAAATTTAGGAAATAAAACTGATTTTTACAGTTTAAGTGCATATTCAACAAAATGATCTTAGCGCAGTATTATTTTTCAAAATTAATTAGAAGATGAGTTTTAGAAAAGCTACGTAGCAGTTATGTAAAGAAGGAAAAAAGTTGGCGTGAAAAACGAGATAGACTTGAAGATGAAGTAGCAAATTTACGGAAGCAGCTTGACCATGATGTTATTATTAGAACAACGGAAGGCATCTATAATATATTACTTTGTTACTTATTTTCCAAAATTACTTTTACCAAGATTAAGGCACAGTTTTTGCACTGACTTTAGTTACTTGAAAGTTTTAAATTCAGTGAAATATTTCCACTTAAATTACTTTATTATCGATAAAGACATCATCACTGAGAAGATTCTTAAAATAAAAAATTACCATTTCTAGCAATAAAACATTTGGTAGTCTT